ACTTCACTTTATCACATACACCCTCACTGACATCTCGTACTTGGCCACATGGTTGAGAGAATAACTTAGAATTTTTCGCACCTATTTGGCATAGATTGGCTCATCCCACCTCGTCGCGAGGCTAGACAGCTCCATCGCGACAAGTCAAGCCGTCTACTTTTTCGCCTTAGAAAAAATAATGTTCATTTTTATGTTGGTAGAGACATTATGGTCACCACTCCTCTACTACCACTTTCAAGCCATCATGCCCCCCAGGCCGTGGCTACTCGGGACAAGATAACATGGCATGGCATGGCCTGATGTATGGCTCATCATGTCAAGCCATCACAATGACTTGGTGACAAGATCTTCATGTCGAAGTTTAACAACTCCGACTCAAGATTTTCACTTTGATATTTTCCTTCTATCTTTTCTTTTAGCCATGGTTGGCTACAATATTTTTTTATAACTAATATATAATAAGTACATTATATAAATTTATTTATTTTATATGGCAAGAAGTGACAAATGTCACTGCTCTCCATAGCCTTTGGCAACAATCAATGTACCAAAGGTGTACACCCATTGCCAAGTCCATGGATCAAACCAGACATACCATCCATAGACCACGTGACTCTTTTCCTCCATGAGAGATGAATCTTCATACTTTAACTTTGAATTTTCTAGCTTACTAATGGGTGGTACATAGTCAGCCTGTCTAGTTTTGGTGGCCTTGCATGAGGTATCATGCTTCTTTGCTTGGGCCACCTTACTTGACATGTCAAGGCTATCATGATTATTCTTCTGCCTTGATTTCCTCCCACTTGATACATGTTTAATCTCCTCACGATGTTGGAGCCCAGGTCTAGGCTTGACAAGTCGACAACCACTCGTGTAGCTTTCTTGTCTTCGTCTTTCAACGTATAAAACTTGTTGGCCCCTACACTTAGCACTCAACCACCATTGATTCTTTGTGCAACCATGTTTGGCTGGTCTGTATGGTGACTTCTTATACATGCCCACATGTCCACTCTTGGTGGTTGGTGTTGAGTACTTACTATTCATTGACATGGACTTGCCCCCCAATCCACCCTTGTCCATAATCTCACGCTTACAAAATCCATGTGGGGGTTTGACTTGTTGTGTCTTCTTGGAGATGCTCCCTACTCCATTCTTCATGGTGGGTGAAATGCTCCCTTGTCCAGACTTAGCCAAATTTGCGAGACTGTGACAACTCTTTCTGCCTTTTCCACTTCTTTCCTTATTAAACTTGCCCTCATGTCCATTGTTTGTGATTGGTGGCATGCCTTCTTGTCCATACTTAGCCATATTATCATATTTATCACGAAAATGTGTGGCTTTGGGTTGATGTGGCTTCTTGGAAACCACCTGCCCCCCAGATGGGCATCCCGACTTCTCTTCGTCAAGCTTGAGACTCTTCTTGCACCGAGCACACAACTTGTCCACTTCATCAGTCATCATTGTGGCCGGACTGGCTTGCTTAGTACCCGACGAGCTCCCTTGCTCGAAAACCACATTGGGACTCCTTCGAGGCGGCGTTGTATCCAACACTAGCTTAAAACGTGGCAATTCGACTTTGGAGAAGTCTGGGTTGACCATGTTGACACCAAGCACCTTGGGGAACGGATCAGTGTCCACCAACATGGCATCCTTCTTCACCTCAGGGAACTTGATGCGTCCCTTGTCATTGGCATCCTGCAAGACATTACGGAACACCACACACGAATCAATGGCATGTGACATGTTATTATGCCACTTACGATACTTTTTCCCTTTTAATTTCTCGGGTGAGGGAAAGACATGCCCCCCTGTCAACTTGACTTGACCATCCTTATAGAGTTGGTCAAAAATCAAGTCTGCCTTGGAGACGTCAAAGGAGTACTTCCTTGGCTGAATGGGAGCACGATTGGGTCTCCCCCCTTGTGGTCCCTCTTCAACTTTAGACAAAGAAACACATATGTATGGCTTCCCTGGAGTTATCTCAGCCAAGTCTACCTCAACCTCATTGGCCTCGTGGCCAATATGATTGATGGTATAGTCTAAGTTTGGGAAGTATGATCCCCTTGATGCACTCCTACGATTCTCTTCCTCATGTAGAAGAGACTCATACCTCACAGCACAAGACATGAGTTGAAATAAATCAGAGAACTCCCTATCTTGAAATTTCTTCCTTAGTTCAAAACTCAAACCCCCTTGTGCCAGCTTGACGAACTCCCTCTCCGTCAAATTAACAAAGCAACGGTTACAGGCATTCTTGAAGTTAGTCAAGAAATGCTCAACCGACTCCCCTGGCTGTTGGCGCATACGTGCCAAGTCAGCCATGGACACCTCGGGCTCAGATCTGTAAAACTGAGCATGGAAGACTTGTTCCATTTGTTGCCAAGTCTGGATGGAGTTAGACGGCAAGTTAACGTACCAAGCAAAAGCTGGTCCTGTCAACGAGTTTCCAAATAGTCTTAACTTAACAAAATCTCCTACATCGCCACATTGGACAGTAAAACGTCCAACGTGCTCTACAGTGGACTGGTCTCCAGTCCCTGTGAATGTGGCAAACTCGGGAATTCTGAATCCCCTTGGAAACGGGTAAAGTCTATCTACCCATTCTGGGTACGGCTTACGGTATACAGGTGGCATAGCAGGTCTTACTCCCATGCCAAACTGCTCCGTGAGGAGTTGAGCCACCTGATCTCTAAGAGTGTTGGCCTCATGCCCTCCTTGTTGCCCCCCATACGGTACAAACCCAATGGGGTCCATGCCATGCCCATTGAAATGGGGTGGCATTGGAGTCGGGTAGCCTCGAGGTGGGATTTGATCCATGTTACCACCTAGGCCTTCTCCTACTCCCAAATTCACGGGAGCCACGTAGGGTCTTGCCTCCGGGATAGAGGGACGAGCACCCACTTGCACGGGTGGCTGCTCAACTCGAGTGTTGAACATGGTGGCGAGGTTCTCACCACGCGGGGGTACCACTTCCACTCCCACGCGTGCCTGTGACGATTCCCCCACTTGAGTTGTAACAGGAATCTCAACATCGCCTACTCGACGTGGAGGTGGTTGGCTTGCCGTTTGAGGCGGCAATTTCTCTTGCCGTGGTTGGCCATTCCGACCACCGGCGGGAGAAAGAACACTATTAGTAGGCGTTAGGCCTATGCCATCTAATGGCAAAGCTCTTGACTGCACTACTGGTCTACCTAAAGACTGTCGGAGTTGATCCACCTCATTTGCATTTTTGTTGACTACTTCAAGCAATTGACTAAAACGTCTATCTAGGCGAGAATTGAGACAGTCTATCTGAGAATTTACCTAATGAGTATTTGCCCGGGTCTCTTCCAACATGCGGCGGTTCTCCATCTGCATTTGGCGGTTCTCCTCCGTGGCTTGATGGGTATCAGCCACCATCTTGCGGTTCTCCTCCATCATCTGACGAAGGGCCCCGACGGCTTCACCAAGATCTCCACCAGGAGCAGTCGCCACCAAGGTCTCTGCTCCACCATTTCCTCCGGCAACCGCGTCAGATGCTTGGCCATGCTCGATGTTGGCCACCTGCTCCTCCACGAATCCAGCCGGAACGTCACCTTCCAGATTCCTCCGCCTCGGAGCCATCGAATCGACCACAAGGGTCCCACCAGGTGTGCCAAATTTGGTTCCCTGTGAGAAACTTGCGTTGAAAATAAATTGATTGCACCTTTGACTTCTTTGGACGACGATCACTAAACACGGTTCACACCTCTTCAAACACAGTTCGAACGAGGGTGTTCAATGTTTACACGACTCTCGAGACAGATCTACATTAAATTACTCCTACTCCTATGGAGGTTCTGAGAGAGCTCCAGATCTACGACTATTGATAAAAGTTTGCAGAGGAAAGATAAGATTGATAAAACTTGACAAGTGGTGTCGAGTGGTAATTTGTGCCGGCTTTTCTCTGTCGCTCTATCCTCTTATTTATAGCCTTGAGTGGGTAACTGTCGTAGAAAAACTGCCTCGGATAACTTCCAAAAAGAACTGCTCCCTGCTTCTTCGGAACGTGGCTGACGTCTCCTTTGAACGTGGGATGAGTAGCAGTTATCTCTCAACCGCCTATGTGCCTCTCTTGAAACCGTCGTAGGAGCTTGTAGCATGCCTCATATATCACGGTCATGGACTTCTTTACTCATGTCCATGGCCCTCTTGGGACTTAGTCTCTAGTGATATAATATTTCATCCCCATGTCATTCTCCTTCGCGTCCATGGCCCCTCTCGTGAGGCAGCATGGCCTCTCAGAATTATCATATGGCATGGCCTCTCGTTTGCACCCATGGACCTCTCAATCTTGGACATGGCTTCCCTCATGAAGCAGCAAGTCCTTCCCTACACTTAGAATATTTTCGGTTGTTTGGTTTAGATCATGAGGCGGCATTGCCTCTTTATTCGCGACCATGGACTTCTCATTCATGTCTTTGGCCCTTTCCGTTGGACGGCATTGGCCTCCTCATACTTGGTATTTTTCACGTGCCCAGGTCCTCTTGTCTCGTGTCCATGGCCGTCACATATGACACGACCATGGACCTCTTAATCACCCACATGGCCTTATATTCTCATACTTAGAATATTTTTTGTCATACCGGGCCTTCCTTGAGATAGCATGTGCTTCTTTATTCTAGATGGACGTGTTCTTCTTTGCTGAGGCGGCATGGCCTCTTCGTTGAGGCGGCATGGCCTCTTCCGGACTTAGTTAAATTTTCACTCTTTCGGTCTTATTGGTGAGGCGGCATGGCCTCTTCGTTGAGGCGGCATGGCCTCTTTAGACTTAGTGGCTTGGGCTTAAAATCAATATCCATAAGGCCCAACTTAAACAACATTAATTGTTATAATGGGTGTGGCCTTATAAACTCATTAATTATCTTGTAACTCACCAATGTGGTACAAGACAAATTTTATGGTGTAAACAGGAGTAGAGAGTAGAGACAATTTGAGAGTAATGACTCATATAAAACATGTTTTCCCCTCTCGCAATCTACCTGGTGGCCTGGCCACCCACGAGCCTTTTCTCCCTTCCTCATCTAGATCGAAGAAGCAAGTTGCGGTGTTGGAAACACAAGCAATGATGAAATCGAACTGATAACAGTAGTACGGTAAGCCACCAGTTCTCCGATTTCTCCTCAAATGACCTCAGGCCCACTTAATATTTCACATATAGAAGAAGCAGATCAGAGTAAGAGATGGCCTAGAGGAAACATTTAGTGGATGATATATGCATTTTTCCGTTTTCATTTTTGTTCCCATAAACCACAAATGTACGCATGCATTTAGGGTGGCAGAATGGTTTTCGGTTAGCAGTTAACGAGACGATTTCAATCGAACCAACCGATTTTTGGCTAACCAAAAAAATGTTTCTGATTGCATCGGTTGGTTGGCGGTGGATATGGGAAGGGGTTCGGCTAGCCGACTAACCGGGGTTGGAAACCGGCTAACCGACCCCTTCCCTTTCCCCAAAACGACCCCGCTTCAAAATACCTCCTCCCTAACCCTAAGTGTCGACTCCTTCCTCCTCCCAAATCCTTCGCCGCTCACCCCTTCCCCCTTCTCGCGTAGCGGCGCAAAAAACCTCCACCTCAGCGCCCCGCCTCCTCCACCTCGTCACCCCACCGCCTCCACCTCGTCGACTCGTCGCCCCGCCGCCTCCACCTTGTCGCCCCGGCGCCTCACTCTCATCGCCCCTCCACCAGCAGCAGCCAGGCAACAACGCGCCGCCTCCACCCTCGTCGCCCCGCCGCCTCCACCAGTAGCAGAAGGAATAGATCTAAAATGGAGGAAGGAGAGAGAAATAGGAGTTGGTGTGGCCTCTGAGGAAGACGCCAATGACTTTTTTTTTTGGTTGAACTAAACGCCAACGTTTTGGCTAAGTTTTTTGGTATGCAGCTAACTGAGCCTAAAATCGAAACCGGGCGGTCAGTTGGCCGGTTAACCGCAACTCTCTCATGGCTGGTTGCCGAAAGCCCTTGAGGGTGGCTCGGTTTAACCGATAACCGAGAATTTAGTTTTCAGTTAAACCGAAACCGACCTATTGACACCCCTATGCATGAGTGCCACATGTTTACATTGAAAACCAAAAAGTTCCACATGCCCACATCTAATATATTTTGTTAAGTGATATTTGCCTTATTAACTCTCCTTCACTTCACCAAGGGTCCAAGGCTCATGCAATATATATAATATTTTATTTTTATGGTTAGTCTTTTACTCATTTACTCTTGGTGCTATAATTTGAGGTTTTATCATTTTGTTTGTTGAATTAATCTATGTAGTTTCAGTTATTTCTTTGGGTTAGGTTTTGTATTTAGTAGGGTGTGGGTAACAAATCATACCATACGATCATGAATTGAATAAATGTAAAATGTTGGCGTCTATAAATGAACATTCAAATCCAGTAATTAGGCGCAAACAGTGTAGAGAAGATCATGAGCATCAACAAGCAAGCTGGTGGAAACTTGATTACATATGTTTATTGAAATAGCGAACATTCGTCTTAGATAATTTTGAAATAAGTTTTTATTTGTAACATGTCATAAACTACGAAAGTCCATTCAATCCTCCAATTAAACTCACAAATCGAGATCAAATTAGAACATGGAACTATAAAAGAATACAAATTAAAACAATATTTAAACCATTCAAATTCCACCATATGTGATAATAAGCTTTCCTTATGTGATTTCAATTTTAAGATATAAAAAATAATTTCATTTTTATTATATACTATAAATGATATAATATATTTTGAATAAAACGTTCCATGTCAATCAAATGATGGATCAATATTAATAAAATCGCCAATGAACATGCAACAAATGTCATTTGCTTTGGTACATATAAGCCATTCATCTAACTTATTATAAATTTTTAATTAACAACTATGTATCAAACGAGTACATGGATATATATTCTTTAAAAAATACTTAACGTCCTTCCCAATCACAAAAACAAATTATCTTTTTCAAAAAAAAGAAAATTCAAAAATTCTAAAAATTATGTGGCAATCAAAATCAAACAATAATCAAAGTATTGATTTATTAAAACTCAATCAAATATAACTCCATTGGATATTCCTCACTACCCGTTGCAAAGCGCGGGCCAATTATCTAGTATCTATTATCCATCGAGAATTGATTATCGAAAGTTTAGGAAGAGATTGTGTACTGACATTCTGATTTGTTGGTCCTGCCATTAGAATTGACTAACATACCGTTTGGTATAAATGAATTTCATAAGTTTTGAAGAATTCATTTTGAAGTGAAACATTTTTGTGTTTGGTATTTAAAAGAATTCATTTCTAATTCTAAATTTTGAATTCTATGGAATTGGAGCTAGTTATAACAATTTCGAAGAATTGAGATGAAATTTCCAAATAAATTCCACAAGTATTTACTAATTATGATAGTTAGACATAATTATCCTCTTTTATTAACTAAATTACTTATACATATGACATAACAAACAAATAAATTCATTTGATATTTGACAATGAATTCTACCTGACAATTTATTTATTTCTAAAGCTATGGCTATTTATTTATTTCTAAAGATTTAAATATAACATACCAAATGGCAAATACAAGATTGCATGTTTGCTTGATTTATAACCACCTATAAGCCTTGCATTGCAACATATCCGATCCCGGTTTACACCCTAACTTATACTCTTCCTTTATTTCCTCTAATGTTGGTAACACTCTTTTCATCTTCACTTTAAGAATTGTTCTTTTGTTTTGCCTATAATTTTCGATGTGATCGTCTATGCATTGCAGAATGAACCCTTGGGTGCACTTGATCATATTATACTACACTACAGGAAATGGGTGTATGCAATTGCAAAATCAATTGTATTGATGTCGCTACCCCATTTGCATATTTGCAAGTTTGCAACAAATGAAATTAAATATACATTAGTTGCTAACTTTTTACAGGTTTAGAACCATCCTAACTAAGCTAATAACCATTAGAATAGAAAATAATCACTACAAAAATGACAGTCAAGTATGGCCAGACGATTGGCGTCGGAAAAGACCTTTTACGATGAAATACGGTCGTTGGTTGTTATGGGAAAAAGTCTCATCGCAAAAAATCCTAAAAGTAAGGGCGCTATAAAAAACTTTTTTATGACATAAATTCGTTTCGTCATGAACCAAAATACCGTTGTCATAAATAAATTACACTTGACGCTCAAAAAATGATAAAGTTTGTTTGTGAGGGAGATTTTTTTCTATTTACAAATAAATGTCATCAGAAATAAATAATTATATGACCAAAATACCTTTTTATTTTTTTAACGAGAGTGGCTCGTTAAAAACCACAAAAATGGGGATCAAAATTTAATTTCCAAAAATACCCTTCAATTATTTCTGTCAAGGTTGGTGTCGGTAAAAAAATTAATCATAATTATTTTTATTTATGATGGAACCGGATTCGTTAAGGATTGATCAATTTTCTTCCCAAAATGCCCTTTTTATTTTTTGTGACGACTAATGAACTTTGATGGTGGAACCTCAAGAATTGAGTTTAATTTACCGTTCAAAAATACCCTTTATGGATAGAGAATTTTGGACGGCAAATTAAACAGAGGAGCCCTTTAATATAATTCTTGGTTTGTTATGCCTCACCACCATCCACATCTATGATTCAACCCAATCAGTGTCGACAACCCTTCTCCAATGCCAGAGCTCTTCTTCCTCACAATCTTGCTCCCAAACCCAACTTATCCCAGAATACCATCACAAACGAGATGGATCAATCACAACATTCGTGGCGAGGTCTGAAACGTTGCTCCAAGTGCAGACAACCTGGACATGACAAGCGGTGTTGCCCATGTTCACCTCTCCAGCAAGGTTCGGGCATAAATTCGGACCAAGTTTGAGGTTGTTGTTTTTCATTAATGATTGTTAAGTTGTAATGATGTTTAAATTGGGCATTTAGTTTAATCTTATTGAGTAATTGTAATGGATTGAGTGTAATGAAGATGGAATTGTGATCAACGGAAACACAAAATACCGTACTACATTAAGACAACATGGATAGTTCATGGAAAACACAAGACCAAACTACAAAAACAACATGGATGGTTCATGGAAAACACAATGACTAACTAAAACGACAACTTGGATAGTTCATGGAAAACACAAGACCAAACTAAACAAAGAAAACATAGATAGTTCATTGCTCACCTTCATTTCCCCCCTTCTCTCCCTCTTTCTCGTCCTACATGGCGTCCTCGATCCCTTCTTCCTCTTTCTCTCCCTCCTGCTCTTGTTGGACAATTGCTCACGGATTCCTCTTAACCCAACCCCCCACCGGAGAATTCCATGTTGGTGGAGGTGGATGTGCCTGAGATGAACTCGAAGAGTGGTAGTAGGTCGAGCCTGTAGGATGTTGTTGTGGGGTCTGATACATCGGATTCTGTTGTTGATGGTGGAATTGAGGGAACCCTTGGGGAAACATGTCATGTTCCTGAGACGGGGCATAGTTTGACGACCCTCCAGCACCCCCAGTTGCAGTTGCCCACTCGCAATGTGGTCATGGTTCAGGAAGTGCGGACATCTCGTAGCTCCTCATTTGGCAACCAGAATTCCCGCGGGTCTGGAGGTGCTAACATCGGAAGATGCTCCCATGCCAAAGCTGGAGGATGAACATTGCAACACCACCTTGTCTTGCTCCCAACCTCGAGCAAGTACACAACTCCCGGTAGACTTCAGCTAACACGGCTGACGCCCAACTCTTTCTCCCAATCGCGTCTCAGTCACCAAGGAGCAATGGCAGGCACATGCCTTGTATCCACCAGTTTGCCTAGTCGGGGAATAGAAATCCACCAACCAAGCCAATGAGGTAGACACGCGCATACCATTCCACTTGATCTTCAGGGGTGTCTAGGCCTAAATCAACCATTGTTTGGATGTGATCAATGAGCCACAGGATCGATACTTGCAATGCATTCAGAGGTGGATGCCCATGTCATTGAACTTTAGTTTGGGTGGGCATGTGGAGCCCCAAATGCTCGAGAATCAGCAGGCCTCACCCTTCTTTGGGTTTTCCCGAGCGGCCGATGATGGCATCTCCAGTGACCGGCAGCCCAGTGAGGATGGCAATGTCTTTGAGGGTGATCGTCATTTCCCCCTCGAGAAAGTGGAAGGTATGTGTTACGGGCCGCCATCGCTCTGCCATTGTCGTCAGCATATCGTCATCGTTATCAATCCTCATAAAGTGCCTCACCATGTCCAATCCGGTCCTCTCAAGATACGGCGAGAGTCGAGCATGCCAAGCGGGCAATCTTGTTGTCCCTCGGTTACCGATGGGAATGAGTAATTCCTACTAAAAAAAATTACGAAGTTGTTAGTCAAAGGAAAGTAAAATAAAAAATTTTAAAATAGTGAAATAATTGAAAAATCTATTTGGTCCGGAGTGTCTACTGGATTGTTGTGCCAAATCGCATGGGAGCGATGTGTTTCTTGCTCGGTTAAATACCTCGTATCCCTTGGGCATGATAGATATATAATCGAGGGTCGTATATCTCGGCACCCATCTATAAATTTTTTTGAATGAAATCAGTTTATTTCGTACCCATTTAGAAAAATAAATCACGAGAGAAAATGAAAGTACGTACCCTCAGAGCCTCTTCATTCATTTTTTGCCGAAAGTTGGAGAGAGTAACGATGGGTTTTTAGGGCGGAGGGTTGTAAAAAAAACTCTAATAATTCTTTCAGATGCGGAATATTAGACTTAGCCGCAACCACAGAGCATACTTAGAACGAAACTAGAGTGGAGGAATGGAGGGAGAAAGAAGAATTATGTGGTGGTGTAGTTTGGATGGGGGCGGAGAGGTTGTATTTATAGGAAGCTGCTGGAGGGGGATGCTTGGAACTAACCGCAGCAGTCGATTGCAGGTAAAGAACCGCAGCCGTCCACTGCTGTCAATTCACCGCCATCGACCATTGTAGTGATAGGCGTGGATCGCTGACGTGGAAGATTGTGAGGCGTCGGATCTGGGAGGAAAACCAGAATCCGCGCCTCACTGCATCCTACGGCTGCGGTGAAGGGGCGGGCGGGCAAAGATTGATGACGTGGAAGTCAGTCAATTCACCCCAATCGTCTACGATAGTGAATGCACTTCCCTTCCACATCATCAATCCGCTCCCGCCCGCTCCTTCACCGCAGCCGTTTGATGCAGTCTTCCCAGATGCGACGCATGACCATCTTCCACGATTGCAGTGATGCTTTCACCGCCATTGTTTACGACCGCAAACCTTTCACTGTTTCGAATAAAAGCTGTGATAATTCAGAATTTGTTCACTGTCGTTATCTAATGCGGTGATCTAGTTCACTGTTTTGGTTTGTTGTGGTGATGTACAAACATACGTACTTTGGGAATTATTTTCATAACTAATGTATTTTAGAATTTTTTTAAGAACTATTGTATTCTGGGATTTTCCCCCAAACTATTGGCATTTACTTTTCTGAAATATTTTGGTACATCATGTGATTGTCCATTATGGCGATGGAGATGGGATGGGATGGGATTTTTGCAGCAAGATGGGAACTGGAACTGCCATCATGGCTAAACTTTGGGGCATTTTCCATGTACATCAGCTAGTTTGAAAGTATTTGCTAGCTTTTAGCATAAGGATGATGCTTCAACTAGTTTATATGTGTTGTAAGTCTCAAACTGGCTATTAAAGCATAGTTTCGTCTATTCCTTTGGTACATGCATGGTTGTCACGCCGATCTGCGTGCCACCGGTTTTACCAGGTTCAACCGATACCGGTCATAAAACCAGCGTGACACCACCGGTATGACCGGCATGATCGATATACGAATCTCTAAGTAAATTGACCTTATTTGAGTGAATTTAATTGAAAAAAATTATTATATTATTTATTTTATGAGTATAAAAGTTAAATATTGATGTTATTTGTTGGATTCAGGTATAAACGTTTAGGTATTGACGATAAATGTCATGTTTAAATATGAGTATTTATAATTTTATTTGTAATATTGACCGGCATGAACCGGCACAAACCGGTATGTGCCACTAGTCGAACCATTCCACTTGCTAAACCGGCACACTGGCATAAACCGGTTTGACATACAGTGAACTTGATGAACCCCCTGTGTATTGAGAAAAAAATCTCTAGAAGACCTCCCAGGAGTTAGCTTTCCTCAACAGGTGCTTCAAAACTCTCCACAATTGAGACTTGATTATCCTCTCTCGGATGTATTGGTAGCTTTGCTATCTCTATTTGTCTTTTGTTTTTCCAAGCGGCTCTACCATGATCTGTAATTTTTTTTATGGCTCCACTAGACAAAAAAAAATGTGGTGTCCATTAAACTAATTTTTTTTTCTAATAAGGTTTCTCAAAGTTTTTTTGTTAGTTGATCATTAGAAATAGTGATGGGTCGTAGCATTATGAAATGATGATCGTAGCTCTTGAATCTCGTGTGCGATAGCCCTTTCATCACGCACAAAGAATCCTTCGTGTTAATCATCCATATAATTACGTGCGCTATCCACATTGAGTGTATTGTAACAAGGAAGCCCTTATGGTTTTGTGCATCGAATGCAATACACGTCCAACAACAATCTTTGATACGTGACATAGCATATGATTAGTTGGCTGGCCCACGGGTCTCGATGATACGTAAATTATACTATATTAGATCCCTATTTTAGCGGCATGTATTGAATTATTTCATATATTTATTATCATATTAAGTTTTAACTTGGATTTGCTTGATAGATGCTCAAAAGCGTGTTTAGTATCTCCTAGGATCACTTTTATTATTGGGATTTTTCCAGAAATAGCACTGTTTAAAAAAAAATTCCAAAAATAGCACCCAACTCCGAAAAATTCCAAAAATAGCACCCTATTTGAAAAATCGCTCCCAACCAGTGCGGTTTAAGCGAAAACCGCCACCCAGGGGCGCGTTTTTCTTTGCAGACCGCACCCCCAGGGGGCGGTTTTGCAGACCGCACCCCCAGGGTGCGATTTGGTTGCAGATCGCACCCCCAGGGTGCGATCTGCTTTTTTTTTTTTTTTTTGAAAAATCCTAACCTAGGTGGAAACTTCAAACGGACGTATCTTTGTGTTCGGGTATCCGATCGTCGCGAAATTTTTTTTGATTCCGCATAACTTTTAGAGATCTTGCAAGCCGAAGGTGGTTTGATCCTGCCTTCGTCCTAAAAAATTTCGTTTGCTACCCCGAACGAGCTTTTTTCCGATTTCGTCAAACTTTGGACAACCATAACTTTGTGCTCCAAAATCCAAACAACATGAATTTTTTTTTATTTCACATAACTTTTTAAGGACTACAATTTTTACTAGAATGAATTTTCAAAACAGGAATTATTTTTGGATATACAGGATTTTGGGAATAGCTTACATTCCCTTCTCAGCAATCCACGTACATTTTGAAATTGTGTCTATGATAAAAGTTGTATTCCTTAAAAAGTTATGCGAAATAAAAAAAAATTCATGTTGTTTGGATTTTGGAGCACAAAGTTATGGTTGTCCAAAGTTTGACGAAATCGGAAAAAAGCTCGTTCGGGGTAGCAAACGACATTTTTTGGGATGAAGGCGGGACCAAACCACCTTTGGCTTGCAAGATCTCAAAAAGTTATGCGGAATCAAATTTTTTTTTGCGACGATTGGATACCCGAACACAAAGATACGTCCGTTTGAAGTTTCCACCTAGGTTAGGATTTTTCAAAAAAAAAAAAATCCTGGGGGTGCGATCTGCAACCAAATCGCATGGTGGGGGTGCGGTCTGCAAAACCGCCCCCTGGGGGTGCCGTTTTCATCGACAAACGCGCCCCTGGGTGGCGGTTTTCGCCTAAACAGCACTGGTAAGGAGCGGTTTTTGGAAAAGGGTGCTATTTTTGGAATTTTTCGGACTTAGGTGCTATTTTAGGAATTTTTTTTTAAACAGTGCTATTTCTGGAAAAATCCCTTTATTATTTTGATTCATTTTTGGTAGTGTTTCGTGTGTTTTCGGGCCAAAGTGTCTTAGTGGACCACCTTGTACGAGAGGGAGATATCGAGGCCCATCTTATGAAAGTAAGAAACTATGATTGAAGTGAAACCCAAGAATGGCCCGCAATTTAGTCGACACAAGGCCAAAATTGCGACTTAAGCACCATTTCTGGAGAGTTGTAGATCGACCAAGAAACGTGTAGAAATGCATTACTTGGAGGCTAAGCAGAAAGATAAGCTAAAGGGATTCAACATGCAGAGAATGTTACTCCTACTATCTCTCCCAAAAAAAGTTGACAAAAGAGCCTATAAATAGTGTCTTTCAGCCTTCATTCGAGATATATCTTATTTTGGAATTTATCTACGTTATGTGGAACTCGCCGGTTCTAAATGGTCAGAAATAGGCCATAACGGCAGCAAATATGGCACAGTACTTTACCAAGCGACTCCTTGCATTATGCATCTCGAGCAAACAAATTATTGGATAATGTTGGCTAATCAACATAATTTGCCCCATGTAGATTGTGGACAAATATGCAGAAATTTCATCGCATCCAATTTGGATTAAAGCCCTTACATTGAGAATATTTATTTGTATACCCGAAAGAGAGAGGACCTAGTAAATTTATATAAATAAGTAGATGCATTATTTTCTTATTATTATCGAACTAATTTTACCCACTCAACGGGAGGTGGTAAAAGACAGACTAGAACTCCAATGGATGATCATCATCAAGTCATCAATCCAACATCAAACATCACCAAAATACAAACGTTTTATGAAATATTCCTAGTTTACACATGTTTGGGCAAAACCGTGGCCATTAGACACGGTGAACAGTATCACCGCAGTTGTCACAAGCGATGAACGCTTCACTACGGTTGTCTGAAGTGTTGAATTTTTCCTGGCCATTCACCGTTGGTTTGTGCCGCCTGCACAATCCTTGGGCTCTGGCTTGTACCGCCTGCGTCGGCGCCTCCAGGCATAATTCCCAAGTTTGGAGTGACGCCGCAGTCAGTTTCGGTTCTGGGTATGAGACTGAAAAGAGCGGAGGAAATAACAACGAAATTCTCTTTTGGACCAACAACCAAAAGTATAACGCCGGCCGCCATCTCCAAGGAAGAAAGCAAATGTGGTGAATTGGTGATGGGGAATACCCCAGATGGGGATGGAGACAAGGTGAAGGGAGAGGAGCGAATGGAGGGCTCGATGATGATGGATTGGAGTCGAGCTTGAATAAAGGGATAGGAGAGAAGGAAGTAACACTACTAATTAGGTAATTAGTTGTGGTGATGGGGAATACCCAGATGGGGATGGAGACGCGGAGAAAGGAGAGGATCGAAGGGAGGGATCAGTGATGATGGATTGGTTACTAGGTGATAATTGTCGAAAACATATCGATTCCATGTACTTAATGTGATTATTTCATAATATGTTTGAGACCTATAATACTTGTTTGAGGTCCAACTAAGCCTGGAATGGTTATAAAACCATTACCATCAAGTGCCAAATGTTTTATATATTTTAGGTAAATGAAACGAGAAATTTGCATTGGTGGATAGAATAATTCAATTGAACTGGATGTACATTGGACCGGAACTTACTGAGGAGTCGAACCATGACTGGACTTTTGTGGGCCGGAAATTCTTTTGGGCCTGGACGAAATGGCTTGGACGGGTGACGGAATAATTGGGAGAGAGGCAATTAGGTGTGGGGAATGGGGATGGAATAATCGGAGATGGGACAAAGGATTTGGGCGGAATTCTCTGGGGACTGTCACATGTGGCAGATGACATGGCGCCAACAAGGTGACAACATGGCGGCTGCACATGTGGCATGCATGGAAGACTAGTAGCATGGAGATGCTCCTAGGATTCTCCACCTAAATGAGAGCTTAATGGTGCACTTATGGGCTACATTATGGGTAGCATTATTAGAGTGCATTATGGGGGGACTTTATGCGGTGTATTGATGTAGAGGGAACATTATGAGGGGCATTGATGCCTTGTATGAGGAGAGGCCTATATAAGGAGCCATCTCCCTCACTTGTAACTCATTCCATCATTTTTGAGAGTAATACACACTTGAGAGTTCTCCCAATCCTTTGTCTTTGTTCTTGTCTTTGCTTGCTTGTGAGTTTGAGAGAAAGGCTGCTTAGCGCTCTAACGGAATTGAGAGCTAGGGCCGCACGATCGAGAGTAAGGTCGTGACAAGTGGTATCAGAGCCCCGTTTGACTCTGTGCTTGCAAAGTAGAAGCCATAGCCAGAAGAAAAGGAAGAACCTCACCAGAAATGTCGGGATCAAAAGTCAACGACGATGAGAAGCATCGTGGCAGAGAGCCTACCCCAGGCGGGAGGCCAAAAGACAAGTCGAGCACTCGTGATCCTCTCAGGTCTCTAGAGAGGCGAGTCTCGAGGATGGAGGTGAAGATTTCTGAAGATGTCACCGCCATCGAGGATTTGGGAGCTAACTTCGCCCAAGAGGAAAGCGATTTTCAAGGTATGAATGCTCGTTTGTCGAGCTTGGAGATCAACCATGATGGGATGCGAGAAGAGCTCGTGGCTCTCATCACCAACACCATCTCCGAAACCGTGAGCACTGCTATTGCGGTTGTGAAAGAGCATGTCCAGGGTGAGCTGGTCGGCGTGAAGGAGGAGATTGCAGATCTCAAGAGTGAGGTCACTCTCGTGAAGAGAGCCATGGCTAGCGGACCAGCCACGGTGCAATCCGTCCCACGTGCTGATATTCCAAGACCGAAGAGCTTCGGAGGTTCAAGGAATGCAAGGGAGTTAGAGAACTTCCTTTGGAGTCTTGAGCAGTACTTCAAGGCGTCCGGCATCCAAGAGGATGAGGTAAAGATTCATACCGCTCCACTTTACTTGGTTGATGTTGCCATGGTGTGGTGGAGGCGACGTGAAGCGGACGTCGAAAGAGGTACTTGTGTGATGGTAACGTGGGAAGATTTCAAGAGAGAAATCAAGAGGCAGTTCTACCCAGAGAACGTGGAGTTTGAAGCCCGTTCGAAGTTGAGAAGACTCACCCAGAGGGGTGGAGTTCCAGAATACGTGAAAGAATTCTCGGAGCTGCTTCTAGAGATCCCGGACATCACGGACAAGGAGGCCATGCACGGCTTTCTTGATGGGCTGCAACCATGGGCCAAGATGGAGATGCAACGTCGAGGAGTGCAAGACCTTGCAACTGCCATGGCCACGGCGGAGTCTTTTGTCGAGTACAAACGACAAGAGAGCAGCGGCAAAGAGAAGAGTTCGAAGCCCAACAAGGGTGGAGAACAGCAGAAGCCTTTCAAGGAGGGTTCTCACACTCAACAACACCAAGGTGGTTCGAGCAAAGGGGGTAAGTACGAGCCCAAACCCATGACTTGTTTCCTTTGCGACGGACCACATCGAGTGCGAGATTGCCCAAGGAAGGCGAGATTAGCAGCCATGGAAGCTCAAGATGAGGAGCCCAAGGCGGCGGAGGCCAAGATTGGCTCAATCCGCAAGCTTGGCGCGGCGAAGACCGACGTCAAGGAGAGCAAGCGTGGGAGGTGCTATGTTCTGGCGCAATTCATGCAAGGCGAGTCAAAAGCCTTGATGGATACCGGTGCCACGGACAACTTTCTTCGCATCGAGGAGGCAAACCGGCTGGGTATTGCCTACGAGAAGGGGCAAGGGAGGCTCAAGACGATCAATTCGGAGTCCATCCCGATCCATGGAGTTGCTCACAACGTACCAATGAAGCTTGGCGAGTGGGAAGGCCTCATCGACTTTTCCGTCGTCACCATGGACTCCTCTTTGATGATAGATAAGATGATAAGGGAGGGAATTGCTTAGGCAAACTATGATTTGAAAGTTGACTACCTGTCTTGAATCTATCTATGGATAAAGAAAAAAGTATATATAAAATCAACTTTAGCTGTATTAGCCTACTCAGTAATTCCGAACAACAGAACAAACCAACAACAATAAGACCCTCGTAGAAAGAATAGGAAAAGGAGACCCTGTCAGTCGAGTTACTCCGTACCTTTCGTATCTTTCATCTGAGAACGACAGCGGGAAAGAAGGCCCTAGCTATCGTGCAACAATCTCTTTTGGGTCCCGCCCTTGTTTCCATCCCTATTTGCTTTTGTTGATACGCAAGCTGTTGCTCCTGCATCTGTGCCATCTGCTCCGCTCTTTGTTGACGGATTTTGCCTACTTCCTCCCAATCACGAATAATATGTGCAGGTGAGCCACTCGCCCACAGGGGGATTGGAATGCTAACGATTGATTCCCTTTTGGGCTCTTACACAGAAATTAAATACTTCAAAGAGAAAGAGAGCAACTCCAGATTATTCGGCTGTTCCAGGAGCTGCAGAAAGGGATGCTTTATCACCCAGTCATCCTCGGCATCAACTTCCTTGACAAGGAGGGAGTGCTCTTGAAGCCCAACTCCAACACAATGCGCTTGGAGAAGGAAGGGGAGTTTCATGCGGTCCATCTCTTGAGAGAAGATGGCCCCCATAGTGCTCTATCCGCTATGCAAGTGGTGAAGGGGTTCAAGAAGAATGAACCAACCTTTCTTGTGTCCTTGAAAATGGAGGAAGAAGGAGGCTCAATAGGAATCACAACTCCCATCATCGAAGGCGTCCTCGAAGAGTTCGATGACGTGATGCCATCGGAGTTGCCCAAGAAGCTGCCACCAAGAAGAGAGGTGGACCACAAGATCGAGTTGGAGCCAGGAGCGAAGCCCCCTTCGCGAGCACCATACCGCATGTCGCCACCGGAATTAGAAGAATTGCGGAGGCAACTCAAGGACTTGGTGGACGCAGGCTACATGCGGCCATCGAAGTCACCTTTTGGAGCACCGGTGCTGTTCCAAAAGAAGAAGGAAGGGTCGTTGCGGATGTGCATCGACTATAGAGCCATCAACAAGTTGACGGTGAAGAACAAGTGGCCGATTCCCAACATTGCCGACTTGTTCGACCAGCTTGGAGATGCGATGTGGTTCACCAAGCTTGATCTTCGCTCAGGCTACTATCAAGTGCGGATAGCAGAGGGCGACGAGCCAAAGACGGCTTGTGTGACGAGGTATGGCTCTTACGAGTTTCTTGTGATGCCATTCGGTCTCACCAACGCACCAGCCACATTTTGCACTTTGATGAATCAAGTGTTCGAGCCATTCTTGGACCAGTTTGTCGTGGTCTAATTGGATGACATCGTCGTGTATAGCAAAACACTCGATGAGCATGCCGAGCATCTACGCCAAGTCTTCCAAGTCCTTCGCGACAACGAGTTGTACGTAAAGAGGGAAAAGTGCACAGTTGCCGCCACGGAGGTTCCATTCTTGGGACACGTCATTGGTGGAGGCAAGTTGAAGATGGATGGAGCGAAGGTGCAGGCAATCCAAGAATGGGAGCCGCCGACGAAGGTTCCAGAGTTGCGGTCATTCCTCAGCCTTGCCAACTACTATCGGAGGTTTATCAAGGGCTACTCCAACATTGCAGCACCCTTGACGGATCTCTTGAAGAAGAACAAGGCATGGGATTGGTCGGAAAGGTGCCAAGAAGCATTCGAGGCCTTGAAGGCAGCGGTGATGAAGGAGCCCGTGCTCGTGCTCCCCAACCCGACGTTGGCCTACGAAGTGCAGACCGATGCGTCCGACTTCGCGATTGGAGGAGTGTTGATGCAAGATGGCAATCCCATTGCCTTCGAGAGTCGGAATCTCAGCGAGACGGAGAGGCGATACACCGTTCAAGAGAAGGAGATGACGGCCGTGGTGCATTGCTTGCGCACATGGAGGCACTACTTGTTGGGGTCAAAGTTCGTAGTGAAGACGGACAACGTGGCAACGAGCTACTTTCTGACGCAGAAGAAGCTCACCCCTAAGCAAGCGAGGTGGCAAGACTTTTTGGCCGAGTTCGACTTCGTTATGGAGTACAATCCAGGCAAGGCGAATTCCGTTGCCGATGCTCTTAGCCGCAAGAGTGCAGCCGCAAGCATCAGCCAGCCCACGTTTCCTTTGAAGGAGCGGATCGTTGAAGGCCTTGGCCATGACCCCTTCGCCAAAACCGTAGCGGAGTACATCGAGCAAGGTAAAACTCAGCGGTTTTGGATGAAGGATGGGCTCATCATGACCAAGGGAGAGCGAGTGTTCGTGCCAAGATGGGCCAACTTGAGGAAGGAGATCATGAAGGAGTGCCATGATTCCAAGTGGGCGGGCCATCCCGGCATCGAGAGAACGCAAGCGCTCATCGAAGAAGCATACTTCTGGCCGCGTATGAGAGACGACGTGGAGATGTATGTGAAGACTTGTCTTGTGTGCCAACAAGACAAGATGGAGCAGAGAAGCCCGACAGGTTTGCTAGAGCCCTTGCCCATGCCTCAACGACCATGGGAGAGTGTAAGCATGGACTTCATCATCGGACTTCCCAAAGTCGATGGATGCGGTTGCATCATGGTTGTGGTGGACAGGTTTTCGAAGTATGGAGTGTTCATTCCCGGGCCAAAAGACTTGACGGCAGAGGATGCGGCACGTCTATTCTTCAAGAACGTGGTCAAGTATTGGGGCATTCCTAGCAGCATTGTGAGCGACAGAGATGGGCGCTTCACGGGCAGATTTTGGCGAGAGTTGTTCAAGATCATGGGCTCAAACTTGAACTTCTCAACGTCATTTCATCCTCAAAGCGACGGACAGACGGAGCGGGTGAATGCCTTGTTGGAGGTGTACTTGCGGCACTACGTGAGTGCAAACCAACGAGATTGGGTAAAGTTGATGGACACGGCACAGTTCTCCTACAACTTGCACCGCAGCGAGTCGACCAACACAAGTCCATTCGAGTTGGCGACGGGGCAGCAACCTTTGACACCTACGACGGTGGCAACGGGGTATAGAGGCAACAGTCCGGCGGCCTACAAGTTCGCTAAAGGCTGGCACGAGAAGATGGAGATGGCCAAGTCTTACTTAGCCCGTGCTAGTAAGAAGATGAAGAAATGGGCGGACAAGAAGAGGCGGCACTTGGAGTTTGAAGAGGGAGACATGGTGATGGTCAAGTTCTATCCTCATCGCTTCAAGCATCTCAAGAACGTGCACAAGGGACTGCTTCGCCGCTATGAAGGCCCATTCCCCATCGTGAAGAGGATTGGCAAGGTGGTATACAAGGTAGAGTTGCCGACGCACTTGGAGATCCATCCGGTCTTTCATGTGAGCCAACTCAAGCCTTACCACGAAGACAAGGAGGACGAGCAACGAAGGGAGTCGCAACGCGCACCAACACTCGTCACCAAGACACACGACCATGAAGTCGAAGAAATCATGGCGGGTCGTGTCATTCCTCGTCGTGGCGTACATCCAAGCTTTGTGGAGTACTTAGTCAAGTGGCGCAACCTTCCGGAGAGTGAAGCAACTTGGGAGAAAGAGCTCACGCTTTGGAAGAACAAGGACTTGATCGAGGCATTCCATCAAGAGGACGCGACGAGGGCGTCGCGAGCATAGGTGGGGGAGGATGTCACATGTGGCAGATGACATGGCGCCAACAAGGTGACAACATGGCGGCTACACATGTGGCATGCATGGAAGACTAGTAGCATAGAGATGCTCCTAGGATTCTCCACCTAAATGAGAGCTTAATGGTGCACTTATGAGCTACATTATGGGTAGCATTATTAGAGTGCATTATGGGGAGACTTTATGGGGTGTATTGATGTAGAGGGACCATTATGAAGGGCATTAATGCCTTGTATGAGGAGAGGCCTATATAAGGAGCCATCTCCCTCACTTGTAACTCATTCCATCATTTTTTAGAGTAATACACACTTGAGAGTTCTCCCAATCCTTTGTCTTTGTTCTTGTCTTTGCTTGCTTGTGAGTTTGAGAGAAAGGCTGCCTAGCGCTCTAACGGAATTGAGAGCTAGGGCCGCACGATCGAGAGTAAGGTCGTGACAGGACACGAAAGGAAGAGGGAATTATTATTTGGGGTGGCATTTATTTTGGGAGGAGGACGGTATTGCCAAAAGTGAAAAGAAGCAGCGGGAGCGGAATTAAAGGAGAAGCAATTAATTAAAAAAAAAGAAGAGAGGAGGCGATCGGGACTTCTAGGCGAGAAAAGCAGGAGGCTGGGAGCGGAACTCTTGGGGAAAATAAAAACAAAAGGGTCGCGGACGAAAATTCTTGGGCGGAAGAAAAAGTGCGCAGGCAGCAGCGAGTAGCGAGCAGTGCGATTATCGATTTGACGATCGACTTCTCCCAACCGGCTTGAGCTGAATTCAATGAGAGCGATTATTTGGTTGGATTTTTTGAACCAATTTAGTTTTTTATTGTTGATTTGGAACATGATGATCAAAACCATATTGTTTTATCTTCATTTCATCATGAACTAAACCCCGATTTCTGGGGGAAATACCATAGGATGTAGCTATTTTTATACTTGATGGATTGATTCGTATTTCTTTTCTTCCAATCTCTATTGCATGAAATTACTTAATGCTTTGTGTTGACTGGCCACCAATACAACGATTTGTAGTTAATTAGGTTATTAGCGACAGTGAAACCCTATTAACTGAACATATTTCATGTGACATAGTAACTTATCGAAGCGACAGTGGGATTAAATAAGGTGTTATGCGGTCTTAAATAGGATATCGATCTTCAGGCTAAATAATTAGGTCATTGAGCTACGACAGTAGGATTTGAATTGATTATCTAGTACGTAGTAATTCCCGACAGGGATAGCTAGCACTTTCGTCATATCCTGGCTGTAGAGAGTTGGATTAAATTGATTGGAATATGTGAATTAATCTGGATAGGATAGGTAGTGAATCCCGGTGTTTCTCCCAGAGCTTTCCCCATTGAATTTCCCTCGACCTTTTTAATTTGCTTGTTTAGTTAATTTTGCTAGTAGTTAATAATCTCATTAAACCATTTACACCTATAGTTTGCTCTATTAAATCGGTAAATCTTAAGGTTGTACCAGTCCCTGAGAGACGATACTCGGACTTTCCGGTTTTACTACAAGATAGGATTAAGGCATACGCTTTTGACCTATCACTAGGCCCTCACCGCGTGGGACACCAACGATGGCCCTGAAAAATTCACCGCTTCTGACGTCCGTGGTGTTACTGTTCACCGTGTCTGACGTAGGCGATTTTGCTCAAATATGTGTAGATTGGGAATATTTGATAAAACATGTGTATTTTGGGAATTTTTTTAAGAACATATGTACTTTAGAATTTTCCCCCAAAACGGGATACAGCTAAAAAGCTAATAACCATCCACCACCTGTCGCAACAATGCGAAGGCGGCCCTCCCGCCGGTGGAGGCGCTCCTCAAGTCGCGGGTCTTCTCCCGGGCGGACATATCGTAAGGGCTGAAGTTCCTGGCGGCGGAGAGCTCGTAGAGCGAGGTGTCGGTGGTGAGCCACTGCTCGACGGTGAAGGTCTGCTGGGTGTAGGTGGCGTGGACCCTGGCGACGGTGATCTCGAAGCAAAAGCTCTGTTGGTGGAGGCGAACTGGTAGAGAAATTTCTCGGAGCAAAATCCACACCAATGACAAAAAGTGGTTGAGGACAACGCGATTGATGCATGTGGGATTTGGGAAGCCCATGGTTTGCAAACATTGGATGACTCAACTAGTTCATACATGTTGCGAAGGGTTATAGTCTCAGATTGACTATTGAAGCATAGTTTCGTCTATTCATTTGGTACGTATGAACTTGAAGAACTACCTTTGTACAGAAAAAAAAACCCTTTAAGAAAACCTCTGTGAGTTAGCTTCCCTTGGTAGGTGCTCCAGACCTCCACAAATGAGACTTGATTCTCCTCTCTCGGATGAATTGGTAGCTTTGCTATCTCTGTTTGTCTTTTGTTTCTCCAACGGCTGTGCCGTGATCTATAATTTTGGCGTTTTTCTCCATTTAATAAAAAGATGTGGTTATTCATAAAATTGAAGTTATTTTTTCTAATTAGGTCTCTCATGTTTTTTTTTTTTTTTTGTTAGTTGATCCTTAAAGTGAACCTACATTGCCAACTAAATACTATTGAGCACCTGGTCAACACAAATTAAATTGAAATAACTTGAATAATCTCAATTCCGTAGACTATGCAAGAATGAATTTAAGAAGATTAAAAATAGTGATGGGTCGTAGCATTATGAAATGATGATCGTAGCTCCTGAATCTCTTGAAGGATAGCCCCTTCCACCAAGCGCAACAAATCCTTGGTGTTAATCATCCACATAACTACCTGCACATCGTCGCAAAATAGAACATTAATGAGAAATGTGTCAATTAGAAAATGACCGAGGTAAACTCCAACGAAGAGCATAACGACAAATGGGTCCGAAATATCTTGATTCTTGACTAGTCATACGACAGCGATATAGAACAATCACAGATTTTGGGCATCTAATAATCTTCTAATAGCTTGATTTGCTAGTTTAATCAGAAGTTAAACCTACAATGTGGAGCTATTTATACATCTTATCGAAGATCTGGAGCTGGCCTGGAGGCAGAGCAACCGAAGAGCATCTCAGATTTCTAAGAGCATAATGAAGAATGGGTCAGAGATACCTTGATTAGGTGCACGACAACGGACTAGAACAATCACATATTCTGGGAATCTAATCATCCTCCGCTAGCTTGATTTTCTAGTTTAGTCAAAAGTGAAAACTACTACTAGGAGCTATTTAATATTTATACATCTTATCGAGCTCCAAACTAGGTACAATTTTTCAAGAGGGTTGCTCTACCTCCATGGCAGTTCCATATCATGTATTTTCCCCAAAAAACACAGGAGCATAATGATGACAAAAATGGCTGCCATTTTGTATAAACGACCGCCAATTTACAGAAGTTAGGTTGAATCTCTCCCTTTATAGCTCCTTTATGTTTCTTCTAAATATGAGTGGTTAATTCATTTGTTTTTATAAGCTTGCAAATCTAGGGGATTTTTCAAAAAGTAGCACTGTTTAAAAAAAATTCCAAAAATAGCACCCAACTCCGAAAAATTCCAAAAATAGCACACTTTCTGCAAAACCGCCACCCGTACCAGCGGTTTAGGCGAAAATCGCCACCCGGGAGCGCGTTTTTCGCTGAAAACCGCACTGGTAGGGGGCGGTTTTGCAGACCGCACCCCCACCATGAGATTTGGTTGTAGACCGCACCCCCACCTTGCGATTTGCTTTTTTTTTTTTGAAAAATCCTTACTTAGGTGGAAACTTCAAACGAACGTATCTTTGTGTTCGGGTATCCGATCGTCGCGAATTTTTTTTTGATTCCGCATAACCTTTTGAGATCTTGCAAGCCGAAGACTGCCGAAGGTGGTTTGGTCCCGCCTTCGTCCCAAAAAATGTCGTTTGCTACCCCGAACGAGCTTTTTTCCGATTTCGTCAAACTTTGGACAACCATAACTTTGTGCTCCAAAATCCAAACGACATGAATTTTTTTTTATTTCGCATAAATTTTTAAGGAATACAACTTTTATCATAGACATAATTTAAAAATGTACGTGGATTGCTGAGAAGGGAAAGTAAGTTATTCCCAAAATCCTGTATATCCAAAAATAATTCCTGTTTTGAACATTCAAAATTTCAAAATGTACGTGGATTGCTGAGAAGGGAAAGTAAGCTATTCCCAAAATCCTGTATATCCAAAAATAGTTCCTGTTTTGAAAAATAGTAAAAATTGTATTCCTAAAAATTTATGCGGAATAAAAAAAAATCGCGACGATCGGATACACAAACACAAAGATACGTTCGTTTGAAGTTTTCCCCTAGGTTAGGATTTTTCAAAAAAAAAAAAAAAAAAAGCAGACCGCATGGTGGTGGTGCGGTCTGCAACCAAACCGCATGGTGGGGATGTGGTCTGTGAAACCGCTCCCTGCCAGTGCGGTTTTCATCGAAAAACGCGCCCCCGGGTGGCGGTTTTCGACTAAACCGCTGGTACGGGTGGCGTTTTTGCAGAAAGGGTGCTATTTTTGAAATTTTTCGGAGTTGGGTGCTATCTTTGTAATTTTTTTAAACAGTGCTACTTTTGGAAAAATCCCCGAACCTAGAGGGTCCTTAGACAACTTATAAATTGAGTCTTAATTATACATGTATGTGTGTGTTGATTGATTGAGCATTCACCTTATTATGTTTATTGCATTATTGATTATATGTTACTATAGTAATGCATTGTAACAAGGAAGCCCTTATGGGTTTGTGCAAGGCATCCAACCAGCCTTTGATACGTTACATAACATACGATTAGTTGGCTGGTCCACGTGTCTCGATGACATGAAAACTATACCATTTTAGATCCCTATTTAGTGGCATGTATTAAATCATTTTCATATATTTATTACCATATTAAGTTGGTAACTTAAATTTGCTTGATGAATGCTCCAAATTGTGTTTAGTATGTCATAGGATCATTTTTACTATTTAATTCACTTTGGTAGTGTTTTGTGTGTTTTAAAGCCCAAGTGTCCTAGTGAAATTTATTGTATTCCCGAATGAAAAATATAACTTAGGGACTGAAATAATATTGCGAGAATGACCTATTTTGTATAAATAAGTAGCTGGATGCATTATTTTCTCATTATTATCAAACTAATTTTACCCACTCAAACGTGAGCGGTAAAAAACAGACTAGAACTCCGATGGAAGATCATCATCAGACATCAAGTCATCAACCCAACATCACCGAAAATAAGTACACAGAGTCGATACTACTACCGGCCACATCCGATAAATTACTCCCAGCACATCGGGATCAATAATACACCAAAACCGGAGTCCAGCTAAGCTAATTAGCATCCACCACCTGTCGCAACACCGCGGAGGCGGCCCTCCCGCCGGCGACGGAGCTCCTCATCACGTCGCGGGTCTTCCCCGGGGCGGACAGATCGTAGGGACAGAAGTTCCTGACCGCGGAGAGCTCGTAGGGCGAGGTGTCGGTGGCGAGCCACTGCTCGACGGTGAAGGTCTGCTGGCTGCAGGTGGCGTGGACGCCGGTGACGGTGGTCTCGACGTAGTTGCAGTACCAGCCGTGGTGGTCCCCGGAACCGTCGGAGGTGAGGTTGAGGGCGCAGATCGGGGCGGTGAGGCAGGGCGCCCTGCCGCTGAAAATGTCGAGATTGCCCCTCTCGTAGTAGTTGTACCCGGGGCCCATCAGCCCGCCCCAGGATTGCAGATCTGAGATCTTGAGGTAGTATCCGCTCGTGTCGTACAGCCACGCGCCGATCACGGAGTCGGTCCCGCCCTTGAAGATGGATCCGGTCCGGATGAACAGCGTGTAGACGCAGTCGTCATCGTCCGCCTGTGTGAGCACAAAAAACACAAAAAGAGAGAAGGATCGTTATTGATTAATCAAGAAAGCAATTATTGGTTACAAGATTTCAATTGAATTTTTGGTGAGTAAAATTTGGGAGGATCGGGTTTGAGGGGACTGACGGAGGAAGGGACGGCGGAGAAGGTGAGGAGGAGGAGGACGGCGGAGAGAAGGAACAGACGGGACGCCATTGTTTAGGGGAAATGTGGAGGTCGGATCGGATGATTTGGGTGGGACTTAAATACAGAGAGAGAGTTAAATACAGAGAGAGAGTTCTTCAGGGAGAGTATGGATTGGGTTTGGGGTCGATGGAAGGAAATTAATAAGATATAGTCAACGTGGCAATTTACTAATGCCCCACTACTTTGTAAAGTGTGATATATAGATTGATTTATAATTAGGTGGTATTAAAAGAATTCGATTTCTAGATCTTCAAGTTTAAGACTCTTGTTACTTATTATCGTTAGTTCAAGTTCTTGTTCGTTATTATTATGTAAACTCGTCCAAGTACAAGTTTTTATTTATTTATTTATTTATCATAGGATGCCGGGTGTATTAATGATGAAATTTGTGTAAAATATATGTTATTACTTTATCATTTTGTACTTATGGTCAATTGGAACGTTTAACACAATTAACCATTAATCAATATGCCACGTCATTATAATAAAAATTCAAATGACTTCTTTCATCCAAACAAAGAGGGTAAAATTTATTGAATATCTCTCAAATCATTATCCATGAACCATACCGGAAAAGTAAGCGACATGATATTTTATGGCAGAATCGTGCTTTAACCGTAATTCAACTGTTAGTATCATTAAATATCCCCTATCAGTTTAACATCCAATATTAGTATTTTGTAATTAAACCGTTGTTACAGTACGGTTTCATGGACCACGCCCTCGATCACCGCTTCCGTCTCATTGTTTAACTTTGTAAACATCACCCTCCCAGTCCCAAATACACATCAACCAATCTGGAAAGGATGGACACATTGGGAGGTCAGCAAATGTGATGTGAAAGTGAAAGGCTATTAGGATCAAGTTGTAGTATATCCTGTATTCCTGTTGGCGGGGGCAGAGTGGCTAGTAGCGGAGTGTGGAAGCTGGAATTTGTTTCTAACTTTGCAAAATTTGAAATCTGTCGGCCAGGGGGCCGTGCTAGTAGTGGTCATTTTCATCTTTGATTAATTATGGACAACGAGACAACGAATAGGATTGAGTCTGAATGAACCGACGATATATTAATTATGTTGTTAAATCTTAACCACGACTGCTCGTTTGCTTTAATGGGGATAAGGTGGTTGTGAACTTGTGATGATAAATGTTTATAACTTTTATATCCTTCACTTCCTTCTCTCCGTTTAATATGCGTCTATGTATTTGTACGTATTTTATCCGTTTAAAACTTCCGTTTATTTGATGGCCTTCCGTACTAAACACGTATAAAACCCGTATAACACGTTTAATATCCGCATTTAATATATTTATTTTGAAAATAATTAATTTTATGGCAAAGACTAGCGTACACCAGGCGTACGCTATACGACTGTGTTCACACTTATAAATTAATTATTGATAATCAAATTAATATTGGTAAAATTATAACTACGCCTACACTCATTAAATGAATTATGGCGTACACTTTAGTCCGCCAACTTTGGGTTAATACCCTAGTTTGGTCCGAATTTTAACGGGAGTGACAGTTATGGCCCCATTTTTCAAATAAGACATTTACGGCCTACTTTTGAAATTATTTGACAGATTTGGCCCGAAACTTGTGTTGACCGTTAATACTAACGGTCAAACACTTATTCCGTTAGTGACTTAGCAAAAAACTGCTGATGTGGCTTATGCAAGGTGCCACGTCATTAAATAATAATATTTTTTAATTTTTTCCCCAATTAATAATAAAAAATAAATAAATAAACCAAAATCCCCGAACCTCTAACTCTCATCTCTTCCTCCCGCCGTCCCCAACCAGCCAGATTGAGTACGAAGAGACTCTTAACCACCCTTCTTCTCTCCACCGGCGAAGCAACCGAAGCAAGAACCAGTACTGGCCATGGCGGATCAGAGCGAATCTCGAGAAGGAAGCTTGTCAGGGGAACGTGCGTCACCACCAGATCTGGATTTTTTTTTTGTCTTCCGGTAATTAGATTGGGATTCTTTCAATCCTGACGATGTAGCTTGGATGTTTTCGATCGGAGGTTGCGGCGGCTGTGGGTGTCCACATCGACCCCGACGGCGACACCATTGCGGCCGGCGAGCATCAAATTTTTACGGCGAGGGTTAGTTCGGCGACGGCGTTTGCGGCAGAAGCTGCCGTGGAGATAGAAATTTCGTCGGAAGAGGTAGGGTTCCCAAGGGGTGGTACATCAACGATGACTGCTGAGAATAGTTTCGCTTTGTTTTCGACGGCGGTGGGTGGAGGAAGCGGCGGCGGGGAGAGAGGGATCGTTGTGGAGAAGCTGGATCCGTTCATGGACGGTGACTTTGTGGGTCGGTACCGCCGTCGGGGTGGCAGGGGAGGATCGAGTGTTTACTCCAATTGGAGTCTGGAGCTTCGATTTTATTCTAGGCGGAGCACATCTCATCCTCCTGGTGATGTAGCGGAGGGACTGGAGATGGAGAACAATGGAGATTTTTTTGAATTCGAGAAGAAGGGAGGAAGTGGATTTAGACCCCAAACAGAGAGGAGGAAGTGGAGCCGATCCATCTTTGGGGATTTTGGGATTTTTTTAATTTTTCATTATTAATTGGGGGACAAAATAATAAATTATTATTTAATGACGAAGCACCATGTATAAACAAATTTACAGTTTTTTTTGCTAGTCACTAACGGAATAAGTGTTTGACCGTTAGTATTAACGGTCAACACAAGTTTCGGGCCAAATCTGTCAAATAATTTCAAAAATAGGCCGTAAATGTCTAATTTGAAAAATGGGGTCATAACTGTCACTCACGCTAAACTTCGGGCCAAACTAGGGTATTAACCCCCAACTTTCTACTGTTTTGTTACATTTAAATCAATTAATAAATTCAGCGATATTTATTTCCTCTCTTTTTCAACATAATCATCCAAACTAGAAACTTTCCTGAACTGTTTATTATATTAAACCATATTGTTCAAAAGTTCAACCGAAAGAGCACCCATTTCCTCCTCCACAAATCTTAGCCTACAAATCTTATTATCAAAGTTTTTATGCCCATGTATTACGACATGGATTACAAGAGTACCACTCATAGTTATAAGGACAGAATCTGACCAACGGCTGGGCCAGTGTAACTGTTAAACAAGTTACGATAGCAGTCCGGTTATTTACTTGGACAGTTATTGATGAGTCCAACGATTTTTCATGGTTAAACATAATAACAAATGAACCACCACGGTTTAATTGGTCCATTGATTCACTATTTTAACCAAAATTAAAAAAAATATGTTAACGTTAACAAAGACCATCAAACCAGAATTATTAATTTTATTTCTGATTCGTCTTCTCATTTTCCAACCTCGTTGTCGACTTTACATGGTTCACTACCGACTGACACCACAATTTTTAACATGAATTAAAATATTATGATTCCTTTTGTGAGACAATTTGAATAATTTGTTAGATATTTTCGGTGATGATATGAATTTGAATTTTTTATGATAAATAATAACTTCATTCTTAAATTAGTGTATTATACAAGTCCTATAATAAACGATTTTATCTACAATTAACCACTTAACTCTAAAGTCTAAACCACTAATTTTTCTAGATCAACGTCTTGTCTGGTTCTTCACAATTGGGCATGTTATGCTAAAAATCGAGGAAGTAGATAAAAGTGGGGTTGATCTTCATTCACACCATATTGGAGTCAGAGTATACAATTTTACAATTTCACTCAAGGGGAAGTTGAACAAACATACATTATCACATGCAACCCATTGCTAATAATTGTTAGTTCTGGTGCTTTTTCTTGAATCCATCACACAAGGATCATAAAAAACGAGAACAAAAGAACTACTAGAAGGGGACCATACCACACGAATTCAAGCCCTAAATTACTCCATAAACATAAAAGGAAATTAATCTATAACAGATCCAATTAATAGACGCATGTAGCTACAATATATCAAATTAACAGAAGCACATAACGATAACAGGTCTAATTAACAAAATCAAGATTTTCATTGCATCAAGGCACTATTGATTTCCATAAGTGTGTTTTGTTCGGATTTTTAGGGTTCTTCTCGTACTTGCGTTGGGTGTTAAACTGTTAAAGTATGTCAGCACGTTCATGTACAAACTACAAATGGACAACTTCTTCCATTCTCTCATCAATTAATTGACTTGCTCCTTGAAGTTTCTGCACATTAGTGTATCGCACTAGCATGATGGACGAATCGAGAATTGCGGAGGGCTTGAACGCGCATGAGATTCGAACTAGAGAGATGAGAAACTGTAGAAATTACAGAGGATCGATTCGGGGGTCTAATTTGGGCTGGGGAGATGGCGACCTAGAAAGAAGATGATGGCGGGTCAATCAAAATTGGGTGAGATAAGAGAATGGAAGATCGAGAAGGACAGAGGAGAAAGCCGGAAAATTCTTATCCGTCCAACGAAGGGATAGAGGGATGGAGACTAAAAACAGTTTCTCACCTCCGATGAAATTCGTGGATAGTAGAAATTGATGGGGACTAAAACGAATAAACAATTAATTGATGAGTATGATTGTAATTATCATAATAAATCATTTAAAAATAATTAATAATTAATTTATAGGTGTGAACACAGGCGTATAGCGTACGTCAGGCGTACGCTAGCCTGAACCATAATTTTATATATTTTTACTATTAACGTACTATTATGCGTAACTTAGTTTAGAGATGAAGTAAAATACATGTGCATATTTTATAACGTAACTTTCCCGTAACAACTCTGCCACTGCTTTAGTTAGTGATGCTGATGGATGGATCGAGTTGCCAAAACCCGGAGGGGCCGCACTAGTTGTTCTCGTGGCAGAGTCTCATGTTCAGTTTGGGCGAATATTTTGAAGGAGTCTAGTACTTTTTGAAGTTATGCTTGTATTGACCCCGAGGGTGGTAGAGATGTCTCGTTCTGGCACGATTATTGGATTCCCAATATTGTGCTTTCCTCGTCTTTTCCCCGTATCGCCTCCGCCGCTTCAAATCTTGCTGCTCGGATCTCGGACATCTTCTTTCGTACAGATGATGGGGCGAGGTGGGGATCTTGGTCTTAATGTTTCCTTGAGAGGGGGAGCGGAGAGGGAAAAGATTGAGTTTGAGAATTTTCTTAATACATTTGCGTCTAACAGAGTTACTAATTGCCCATGCAGACTGGTTTGGCTCCCCATACCGGAGTCTGCCTTTTCTGTTTCCTCCTTGTACAAAACTTTAGTGAGTGTTCTTTTTACAGGAATTCAAAACTATCCTGCTGCCTCGGTGTGGAAGACAGTGATCCCCTCGAAAGTGTGTTTCTTTTTTTGGACGTTGTCTTACGAGAGGCTTCAGACTCTAGACAATCTACAGAAGAAAGGTGCAGCTCTTGCCAACAGATGTGTGTTGTGCAAGTGCCAGGAGGAATCAGTAAATCATCTGTTTGCGGATTTCCCCTTTGTACAGGTTATATGGGCTGCTGTTCGGAGAGCCTGCAATTTGGTGAATCCTCCTCTAGGGCATATCTTCTTAGTCATTCAGCCTTGGCCTTCTAGGGACCTGCCAACATTGACTCATGGCTTGAGTTTTGTGCTCTCCATTATGTTTGCTGGCAAGTTTGGCTTGAACGTAATCAATGAATCTTCAATGACATTAGCGTGCCGGCGGTGGTGGTTGCTCGCAAGGCTTGTAAATCGGCTATTGAATGGGTGGTCGCTCATGATAAGGTGGACAAAGTTAGCAACATATATTGGTTCAGCGTGAATTACAGAAGGATCTGATCCCTCTAGTTCACAACCTACTCTTCCCTCTTTTTGTTTGTATGCTCGCTTCTCATCTTGGGGTGCATTGTGAACTCGCTTTTGTTGGGGGTTCGGGTTGCAGACTTCACCTGTGCTTCTGGTTGCTGGTGCTGTCAACCTCCTTCTGTTTTTTTTGGGTTTTTTGGGTGGTCACTGCTTGGGTTGTTTTTGGCTTTGATCTCCCTTTTGTTTTCCCTTGTGATTTTTTGTTTGTTGGGAAACTTTCCTTCACTCCTGGTGAAGTCGGTTTGTCTTTCTCTGTATTGAACCTCTCTTGTTTTCCTTTTTAATGCATTTTCACCATTATAAAAAAATGGTAACCAGAGAACATGGAAAAAAAGGGAACCCTGGTTCGCAAAAGGAGAAGATGGCCACCGGATCCAAAAATAACGGCCACAAGTATCTATCAGTCGTTTCTTCCTCTGGGTCAAAAGCCCAAGATTTCCAAACCATGTTAATTATGGGTCTGAATAATACAAAGATCCAAGTGATATCGGTCCCCCTCTGGTCCTTAAATCGAAAGAAAAAACAGACTCAAGCTCAAACTCGTCTTCCGTCCGCCTACACTATCCGCCGAGTCATGACAAGAACATGAGAATTAGTCTCAATACCAACAAGAATCCACTGCAAGTCATTCAATCATCATGAAAAATACCTCAATCATTAAATTAAGCAACACCCATAAGCAATCATTTAATTCACACAACAACTACATGGCAAATAGTTAGAGTTTCACAACACCCAAGCGAAAAAGGAAACTACTCCATGCTAGAAAGGGGAAGAACACAAAAGAAAGAAGTAAAAACTATCATGGTGATGCCTTCCTTCTCCTTTGACCTTGTGTTGATCTTCTCTTGGGGAGATTCTTCCCAATTCACCAGTTGAAGCAAACCCTAGGCTCCCTGCTTCTTTGTTTCGTTCTTTCTCCCTCTAAAATCTGAAGAAGAAGAAGATGCTTTCTCACACTTGGGATCTCCTTCTCTCTTCCTTTCAGATCACATTATATACTGGGATCGGGCTCAGTTCACGACTTCAGTTCACGGCCGTGAAATCCTCAACGCGTTCGTGAACTTGGCGTGATGGGTCGAAACGCACCGCTTCACTCACTTGAGTTCATAGCCAACAGCTCTAGTTCACGGTCTTGGTGACCGTGAACTCACTCTGCGTTAGTAACCTCTGAAACCTCTCTGGACGCTTCGCGGTTCTCGGTTTATGTTTCTAGTTCATGACCTTAGGAGACCGTGAACTCCAATGAGATATCGTGAACATGGCCTAAATCCCTCTCTTTGCCCGGTCTTTGCTCCTTTTCTTCCAACTTTCGACTCTGGGGCTGGATTCACCTGTTAGATCCTGAAACACCCTAAAAAACGAGAAACCTAGCTTAAAACCGTCCTTTTAGGAGCACAAATGCCACAAATGCCCAAGGAAAACAGAGATAAAATGTGTACAATTAGGCCTGAATCACTCCCCCACACTTAGACGTTTGCTTGTCCCCAATCAAACCATTTCACACAAGGTAATATCTCAACCTAACAAAATACTTTGGGGACAACTCAAAGGGCACCAAGTGGGAATTCTCAATGGCTATTGGCAATTAACACATGGACCGTTGCAAACAATTCCGACATTCGAGGCCATACAAAACGGACAAACGAAAATTTCTCACCTTGTTCATGGATCAATTCAAGTCTCGACAAGATCACTTACCAACCACAACTAACCATGCATAATATTCAAGTCCGAGGAACAAATGAAAAGGCAACAATGGTCCTCACCGGGATATGATATGACA